ACAGAACATAAAAACACAAACTAATTTCTACAGTCACCCCCCCAATTAATAGCCTAGCAGTAATAAAAGCACACCCAGCCCATTATTATGAATTCAACAACAACAACAACAAAATCTGCCCTCCAGGTGAGACAAGTGGGCCTAAGGCAAGCAAAACGAGTGATGCACTCTTAAAATGCAAAAGGTGGGGAAAAATAAACAAAAAGAAATTCTGGAGGAATTTATATTTTTCTAAAAATACAAAACTCTTATGAATCTGAACCATTGGATACTCAAATCTCCACAGAGTTCCTAGAAAGGATTAAAATCCCAAAATTTAACCACTCATCAGGAATCTCTAGAATAGATCAATCCAAATTGGGATCAAAAATATGAAATCCACCACAAAGCACATGGTCCCAACCGATTCATTAGTCTTTTTTTAATTTTAAAAAATTCAGAATAAATCCCACCGTTTCTTCTGAAATTGTTTCTTGACATATAGAATAGAGGCCAAATTGCTGAAACTTGGCAGAGCTTGGTTATCACAGTTTGACCCAAACCACAGAAAGATCTTCAACAAGTTGAATCATATAAGCCCCTCTCACAAGATTGATATTATCTGTGCAAGATGGTTTGATTAGTAGTCAAACATGGGTGACTTACCTGCATGGCTTCCTGATGTTAATGGACTCCAGCTTCCACAATCCTTCATCACTGGCCATGTTGGCTGGAGCTGATGGGAGTCCACTAACACCTGGAGTGTCATAGGTAACCTACCCCTGTATTAAAGGGGCAGACTAAAAATACCTTTTCAGTACAGTGTGACATTTAGTACTTGGGCTAATTACTTCCTTTCTCAACAGACAGTTGTGGTTTTCACTTATGCCAATAAGAATGTCATCTTAAAACAGGAAATGGGGAACCGGACACCCCCCACCTTAACACTGTTGGACTCCAACTCCCATTAGCCCCAGCAAGCATGGCCAGTGGTCATGAATGATGGGAATTGTAGTCAAACACTTGGGAGAGTTACAGAACATGTAAGAACATTTAAATAGCGACACCTTGCTCAAACACTCCAAAGAGCAATTTAGTCCAGCATGTCTATTTCCAGTATTGTCAAAATACTCTGGGAGCTACTAACAGAGAATGATGCAGATAGCCACTGCAAGTTCATCAAAACATCTGATAAATAGGGTCAAATCAATGCCTTTTTAATCACATGATTCTAGTGGTTGCCCCACCCCCTTTTTGCAATGTAAATAAGTAGCTATGGAGAGGTCAGAGCAGCATCAGATTGTATGAGGGGAAGTTTAACCTCTGCAGCAGTCCTGATGAAGTCCACTCCCCAGTCAGCTATTGGCATGAAGAAGCCACCATTTAAAACTCTACTGGTGCCCATGGTTTCAATTATGCAAATAGCAGTATGAAATTCAGAAGTGTAATGGGCAGAGCTGGCATGTGTGCCCCCTACAGTTGTTCTTCTGACTACCCGGATAGAGTTTTTCTCAGTATTCATGATGTTTTCTGTGCTTGTGATTTTAGCAGCAATATTTTTTTTTTACACAAATCCATCTTCCTCTCTTGGGAAGCGGGTGGCGCTGTGGGTTAAACCACTGAGCCTAGGACTTGCTGATCAGAAGGTCGGCGGTTCGAATCCCCACGACGGGGTGAGCTCCCATTCCTTGGTCCCTGCTCCTGCCAACCTAGCAGTTCAAAAGCACGTCAAAGTGCAAGTAGATAAATAGGTACTGCTCCGGCGGGAAGGTAAACGGCGTTTCCGTGTGCTGCTGGCCACATGACCCGGAAGCTGTAAGCCTGCTCCCTCGGCCAATAAAGCGAGATGAGCGCCGCAACCCCAGAGTCGGCCACGACTGGACCTAACGGTCAGGGGTCCCTTTACCTTTATCTTCCTCTCTTACTTACCAAACTATAAAAAACAAGCTATTTCTGCAGTGCATTCAAAGATTTGAGTTTCCCTTTTCAGAAGAAGAAAAAGATGGGGTGATTTTAATAAAGAAACAAATGCGTGAAAATTTAATGCTACCCATATTCAAAGTCGGGATGGTGAGTATTTTGACACACAGAGAATGGCATTGCCTCTTGTCACCATCAACACCTCAGCTGCTCTCACTGGACTCCACTTTTTGCATATTATGTTTCTGACACTTTCCAATTTGGACTTCCCACTCAAGAGATTGGGTTCACATCAAAGCTGGAGATACAGAATCCCCTTTTAAAGATGAAATCCTGACTTTAAGAAGCAGAAGGAAGAAATTAACTGCTAAAGGCAGTCAGATATTCCTGCAATCGTAACAACTAATTTAGCTTCGCGAACGCTGTGCTAGCCCTGCTCTATACTGTGCAAATCTATGGAGACCATTTCCAAATGGTGCTTTTCCTAACTGATATAAAGCCTCTTTCCCTCTAACCCTACTATTCCATTGTATTGGAAATATGAACTTTTATGTTTCCTTACTTTTCCTGTCTTGCTTAAGCAGTTTCAGGCCTGGTCTACACATGAGCATAAGCCTTGCTGGATCTTATCAAAGGCCTGTCTATGGGTCCTATATCAGCCCAAGGGTCATACTCTCCTATAGACAACCTTCTAGGAGGCTGTGTTCGTTTCCTGAACCAAGGGCTCTTCACTCTTGATATACCTAGTCCAGCATCCTTATTTCCCACATTGGTCCACTAGGTGGCTCCGGTAAGCTCACACACTAAACAACGAAGCCTTCTCTGGTTGCTCTGGCAACTGAGAACTCAGATATACAGGCCACATCCTCACTATGCATTTAAAGAACTACGATGCCACTTTTAACAGTCCTGGCTCCCCCCGGGGGGGGGAATCCTTGGAGTTGCCGCTTGTTAAGAGTGCTGAGTTGTTAAGAGTGCTGAGTTGTTAAGAGTGCTGGTTGTTAGAGGAGGACCCTGTTCTCATCAAAAGAGCTACAATTCCCCAAATGGTTCGAAAATCAACCTGTCTTCCTGGGGGACTCAAGAGAACTTAAAGCTGTGTGAGGGGAATAGGAGTCTCCTGTGCTGTAAGCCACCCAGCGTGGCTGAGGAAACCCAGCCAGATGGGTGGGGTATACAATATTCATTATAATTATAGACAAAGTACAGTTACCAGGATTCTTAGGTGAAAGCCATGACTGTCAAAAGTGGCACCGCAGTGCTTTAAATGCAGTGAAGATGATCCATCTTTCACCCCCCCCCCGAGGATGCTTATCACTTAGGGGCTCAACAATTAGTCCTGTGGGTTAAACCACAGAGCCTAGGACTTGCGGATCAGAAGGTCAGCGGTTCGAATCCCCGCGACGGGATGAGCTCCTGTTGCTTGGTCCCTGCTCCTGCCAACCTAGCAGTTTGAAAGCACGTCAAAGTGCAAGTAGATAAATAGGTACAGCTCTGGCGGGAAGGTAAACGGCATTTCTGTGCACTGCTCTGGTTTGCCAGAAGCGGCTAAGTCATGCTGACCACTGTACGCCAGCTCCCTCGGCCAATAAAGCGAGATGAGCGCCGCAACCCGAGTCGGTCATGACTGGACCTAATGGTCAGGGGTCCCTTTACCTTTACCTTTACTGTCAAACAAGCCCACATGTATCTGTCCCACTTCCCAATCCCATGCAACAATGTGACGCCAGCAATATTTTAGCAAAAAAGAAAAAAGAAAAAGAGAGAGAGTAAAGGGTGGAGCCCTCCCCTTCATTCCATCCCAGTGGGGTTGGCCTGCCAGCAGCAGCCCAGCTGGCTACAGTTGTTGTTCCTTTGGCTGTAGGGGCTGTCAGCCAGTCAACTGGCTGCTGTAGATGTGACTGTTGCTTTAAGGACCTCTATCAGAGAATATTGGGTCAGATGGCTAGAGCCTGGGAAGTTAGTTCAATGCAGCCTGGGTGAGCCCTGTTGACCCTGGCTAGGCAGTTATCGATTAAAACAACATAAATGTTGTTCACCTTATCACTTCTGCAATTGTCTCCTGACCTGGAAGATACTACAGTGGCTGCTCAGCCACAGGTGTAACAAAGTCATAAATCAAAACTGCTGCTTTTGCCTCAATCTCTGGCAGTCTCAGTGGAAGTTCAGCTAGATGGTAGAGTCAAGCAAAAGGCTTTGCTGGTGGAGAATCAGGAGGTGGGTTGTTGGGTGGGGAGGCAGGTGTTTCCAACTTCCCATCCTCCCACTGGCAGACACAGAAGTCCCACAACAGGGCCCTTGAATAAGCAGAAACTTTGAAAAAAACTGCAATGTGATCTAGGCCCCATGCACCATAACGGTATTAAAAAAAAAAGCTTAGAACATTTTATTTTTCAGCTCTCTCAAGGTGATTTTTTTCATAGCACAAATAACAGAACAAAAGCAAGAACCTAGAAGAGCATCTTTTTCCTTTTCTTATTTCACATTATACAGTGGTGCCCCGCAAGACGAATGCCTCGCAAGACGAAAAACCCGCTAGACGAAAGGGTTTTCCGTTTTTTGAGTCGTTCCGCAAGATGAATTTCCCTATGGGCTTGCTTCGCAAGACGAAACGTCTTGCGAGTTCTTGCGAGTTTGTTTCCTTTTTCTTAAAGCCGCTAAGCCGCTAATAGCCGCTAAGCCGCTAATAGCCGCTAAGCCGTTAATAGCCGTGCTTCGCAAGACGAAAAAACCGCAAGATGAAGAGACTTGCGGAATGGATTAATTTTGTCTTGCGAGGCACCACTGTACTTAGTAAATAGGGATGCTCGGGAAAAAGAGGTTAGTCCAACTCCAGCTCCCGTGAGCCCCAACATCTTGAGGGGTTCAGGTTCCCCATCACTGGCAAATGTAGTTGCTGCTTCCATTGAAGTGAATGGGAGAGATGCATGGTAGCTGGGTTATGAATTTGGGAAGAAGGACAAGACTCACATAGAGGTTGTAGCTCGTATTAAAATGCATGGTGATAGCAAGTGCAATCTCAGCGGAGAGAAAGTAAAGAGAGAGAGAGAGAGAGAGAGAGAGAGAGAGAGAGAGAGAGAGAGAAGTAATCAATTCCCATATCAAGTGTGTTAGAGTTTAATTCAAGTTTACGTATACAGTTGAGGTGTCATTTTCATTTTTCAGCCCACATAGTATTTTTGTTAACTTTAAACCTTACCTTTGTGCCTGCCTTCAAGTGAATCTATAATAACTTATCTGTGTTCTAAGTGAATAGTATTTTTTAAATATATATATATATGAAGAGAGACTTTTCATATTATATATATCTATATATAATCTGAAATGAGAAAAATAGGAATTTCACATGTACTTCAATGAATATATTACAGGTGAATTACTATGTTGTCCCACTAGTCAACAAAAAGACATATCATATGAAAGAAATTTTTAATTTTTATTTTACATATTTATACATAAAACTTTCAAGGTAACTCTTTCAACTCAACTGCATGTTAATAGCACATCTAAAAATGAATGTCAGGTAGTCAACATTCACAAAATGTTGAAAACTGATTAAAATATACATATTACTGAAAGCTACAACTTCACTACGAGGCAGGCATGTATGTTTTCTCTCTCACTTGTATAGCACCGTCAAAATTACAGTCTCATTTATTTAAAATTACGCTGAAAAACAATAAAAAGTAGCCAATGGTAAAATACTGCTTTAACTTAAAGGTCTCTCTAAATAAACAAAAATAAAAGTTAAAACTACCCTCTCTCTTCTTTTTTCCTCTTCACGTTTGCAATGTTTATAAGTACTGTACATTTTGTTCTACAATAAGATTATTGAACTGTCCGATATTTAGTGGCACAAGTAAAAAATAAAATAAACCCAACAGCAAATAAATTAAAAAGCATAGGCCAACCACTGGACATAAAGCTTCAGACATTGGGAACAATTCGCCAAGCACAGTCGCTGTGCATCCACCATTAGCTTCAAGGAAGGGTTCTTGTGGGGGGTTCCTAGTGCTTGGCAGATTGCGCCCGGAATCAATGACTAACACTGATTTTTCTTGTGTGCCACCCGTGGAGCATCAGCGTTGGTACAACCACAGAAGCAAAACATTTTAGCTTGTTTCTTCAGTTCTGATGGCTTCCGGTTTTATTTTGCTGGCATCTTCTCTGCCATGTGCTTCTGCTGACTTTCAGCGTGTCTGAAGGGAAATGGGGAAAAAGGAACGATATTACGTAGATGCAATAAATGAAGATTTTTATTTTATTTTTTACTGGCAAAACTTAAAGGCTGCAGAGAAGGAAGGAAGCGCAGCGATTGCTGAAAAGATTGCTTGAAGAGATGCGTTAGCTTTTGCTGCAATTATCTAGCCGGCTTAAATAGTCCTTTTCTTCAGGACTCCTCTAGGCTGCAGAAATCCAGCACATGAAGGAAAATAACAACCACAGTCTTCAGGAGGTAAAATCAAGAAGAGCACAGGGGGTGGGGGGTGGGATTTCAAGGAAATTGCTTTGGAATTGAAACTGTAAGTTGCAATAACATTGAAAGGAAGTTTTATTTGGGGAGCAAGGGGGAAAGGAGGAGAGTTTCACCTCCTTCCTATGGATAGGAAACTTATTTGTCTTAACACAATCCAAGGATGTAGCAAGATGACCCCTAGGTCCCTATTGTAGCAACGCTTCAAGATATAAAGAACTAAAAACAACTCGCATCTCACCAACTGCCCTCACAGAGGGCATCTGCATGGCTAATTAAATGTTATTGATTCCAGTAACTAGAAATGCAAACTGCTTCCAACATGAGAAAGTAGTTTTGTAACACCCTTCCCCAACCAGGTGCCCTCCAGAAGTTTTGGATTATGACTTCCATAAGCCCCAGACAGTCCCCACAAGTGCACACTGTGGACCCAATAGAAGCCAGAGGTCATGCTTTCTATTCATTAAAACAGACTCGTACTTCAAAGTTTCTGGGCACCAGGTTGGCGGTAGGCTGTTTTAGAAGAACAAGGGAAAGAAAAGAGTGCCCGGGTTGCGGAGCAGAGAGTCAGACCAGGAAGCTACAAGTTTTGATAGACATACATCCACGAAGCTCATTGGGTGATGCTGGGGAAAGTCACCATCTTTCAGCTTAACCAACTGGTCAGAGGTGCTGAGATGGTAAAACTGAGGTGGGGGAGACAGAAACATCATGCACCCTGAACTCAAACTCTTGATTATTTTCATCTGCAATTTGGTATTCAAATTAGAGACCATCCAAGAATATACAGAACCATCTCTCTGTAGATTTAGCAAGATCTGTTCAGTCTTTGTATCCATAAAACATAAAACACCCATAAAACATTTCTCTCTCAGTTTCTTCTGCTTAAATAGTTCACACTTCAACTATGCAATGAGGCATTGTATCTACACTTCCTGTTGCTGATCTCTTTTCACCCAGAGACAAGCGGTTAGGGGAAAAAACACCCCATCACTGGCACACATTCCTTGAACTTTCGCTTGCTGCCTTTGTGTTTGTCCCTTCTCCTCCCCTCACTAACAATATTTCATAAAGCAGCAAGTGAAAAGCACCAGCATGGTGTATGGTAGTGGCAGCGTCTTCTTTTTTTGCAAGACACAGGCGCTCTCAAATCAGAGCTACCTGTTGGCTCACAAGAGAAAAAACACCAACAACCTTCCTTTTCTCTGGAGGGGAGTAACAGGCAGAGTATGGGCATTGCTGTACAGTCATACTTCATGTTATGTTCTTTCAGGATACGTCCCGCGGTGACCCGGAAGTACCGGAAATGGTTACTTCCGTGTTTCACCGCAGACGTGCAAAATGACATCATGGCCATGAGCAGAAGTGGCGAATCGCAACCCGCGCATGTGCAGACGTGCCGCTGCGGGTTGCACTCTTTTCATGTTGTGAACGGGCCTCCGGAACGGATCCCGTTCGAAACCAGAGGTACCACTGTATTGCAAGGTGAAGCAGCAAAACCACTCCGCTGTCTGTGATTTGCAGCAGCAGATTTCTGCAAGAACATACTATAGTGAGCACACCGACCTTTCCCTCTACGCAGAAGTCCTCTGGTAGATGTCAATGACGACTTGCTCACCAGATTATAGTGGGGGAGGGTAATGGGGAAGGATAATGCCATGCCGAAAGACAGACACATAATGGCATGCGAAAACACACACACACACACTAGCCCTTCCCTGGTCTTTGTGTAAAGCGGATGAGATTCTGCCTCTCTTCAAAGTTTTCTTAGCTACAAAAGCAGAGAGAATTCAACAAAGTCAAGTGCTGAGGGGGTGTGTGACAGAGTGCTAGGGGTGGGCAATTATTATTATTATTATCATTATTTGCTGTGGACTGACACACTCTAATATTTCCAAACTTGCTTGCAGATCAGAATGCAACTCCCATTTGGATTACTCAAGTCTCCAGATTTTGGAAGGTACCCTGAAGATCATCTCATCCAACCCTCTGCAATGCAGGAATATGCAGCTGTCCCATACGGGGATCGAACCTGCAACCTTGGCGTTATCAGCACCACGCTCTAACCAGCTGAGCTATCCAGATATATACATGTTCCCTGGAGTTGCAGAGGTTTCAGTGCAGTGGAATAGCTGGCAAATACCACAAAGCAAGAGGCTGTAAGAGAGGCGATTTAGCATTTTTGGCTGCTGAACCTTCTTTAACCAGCCAATCTGAGAAACGTGAAAATAACCTGGAACAGAGGGTGACAGAGGATAGATAGAAGGGGAGTACATAAAAGGTTTGCACTGAATAAGAAAAGGCCTGGATTAAAGGGATCTGGGAAAGTTGAGGCGTTACTGTATTTTACCTTGTCGGCAGCAATGGTGCTAAATTACCATGGTACTGATAGGGGGCCGCACTGTAAAAGAAATATTACAGAAAAAAGAAAAGAATAGTTGGGTTTGCTTTGGTTCAATTAAGTCTCATCTCTGTCTGCAGGTGGCAAACAGGTTTCTTCCTTTTAAGATTAAAAACCAGCACAGGATTTGACTGAAGGGCCACAGCGAGAGCACAAGTAGCCATAAAGTATATTCAGACTGTTGGTAAGATGCTATGAATCAAATCAGAGAAGAGTAACTTCATCCACCTGATAGTCTACATGCCTGCTTTCACTACAGAGGAGGCAGCAGCTGTGAACTGCACCCCCTGCATCTAATTTTTGCAACAGGCCCCACTCTTCGACAAGACAATTGAAACCACTTCTGGACAAAATGAAAGCATGGTTGCTAGCCACTGACACTATTATTGGCCTTTTCCTCTGAACTGCCAGGACCTAAGGTCAATGCACACCCAGATTTTGCCTTTTGGAGTCTTCCCAGGTCTTGAAATCGTGTATAAAGTCACTCTGATTGATTCTGCCCGCTACAGGGCTTGGTAGCCGGACTGAATATGTAAAGACAGCTTTTAGTACAGAGGGGCAAGCTGTTAATAGGGCACATTGTCTACCCAGTAAAGTAAGGAGTGAGAAAGGATTGTTGCAAGATCATTAAGAAAAGATAATTTAGGAAGGGAAGGGAAAGTTAGGAATAGATGTCAGCTACATTATCAAATGGAGAGGAGGCATCACAAAGGCAGATTCCAGAATAAAGGAAGTGTTTGTCTCTATCTTTAGGACCACTCTCTTTGTCTGCCCAGACAAATTTACCAAGTTTTACATTTCCTAGCAGCAATAATTTCCAAAAATTAAAGGGCTCAACATGATGTTGCTGCAAACAACTAGAGAAAGCTATTAGGCATTGGATGTTAGATTATAAATGGATTCAATGGCCAAAGAAGTTTCACTTATAATCTGATAGAGAGTGTGGATCACTGTCCAAATCTGCCATTTGTCATACCAGTCACGGCAACAGGTGCTTAGAAAAACAGCAGCAAAAACAGTTGCTTCGGTGCAAACAGCACTAATAGTGGTAGACTTACGTTACTGAACCATTCATACACACATACCCTAGCTTTCCCCCTGACAGTTATTATGTTTCTGTAATTTTGAAATTACTTTGACCCTGAAATCTGTTTTTGGATGAAGGGCATTTTATACATCAATTAAAATAAAATATATCATCACAAGAAAACGGTCTAGAGAGACCTTTGCAACAGGACGTATCTGAAAAAGGTTACCAACCTGGTCAAATCCTCAATGTCTACCAGCATAGCATCCTGTTCTGTGTGCAATTCATCCCGAATTAGCAGCAGTTGCACCAATTCTTCATTCAAGCCTGACAACAACAAAAAACAAAAAGAGTGTTTAAGTTCAGTTAGCCACAGTTCTCCCCATGCCTAACATTTTGGAATCTGTTAGTCACCATGGTGCATGGCTCTCACTCCAAGAAACAGAAGGGTATTTGGCTTGGCATATAAATAAGGGAGGCGATGAAGTAATGGAACAAGAACAATGGCCGGTATTGTTAAAAACAAACCTTAGTAAAAAAAAATATCAACATGACACTATTATAGATCTCATGAGAGAACCAAGGATGACTTCCCAAAGCAGAATGCACTCTTTAAACTCTTTAACTTAGGAACCAACCCATGGAACCTCTGGCATTTTTCTGGTTGTGGTTGGTGATGGAAAATCCTCAAAACTGGGTGTGATCTATCAAGGCTGAACTTGCATCAACACATTGGCAGGGAAATAAGCTTGGCTGTCTATGATGTCAGCCTGTTTCTACAGAGGCAAGAAAGCAGTAGGTGTTCCAACTGCAACAGCTACCAATGGTGCCAGGAACTGCCATTGTGTTGTGCGCCCATTCAACAACCAGAGGACTAAAACCCCTGCTTTCTGCGCTGTCATTAGTAATGGTGAGGTTGGCGGGTACCAGGGACAGGGACTTTTCAATGGCAGCCCCACAATGCTGCAATTCACCTCCCTGGTACTCCACTAAATCCTCATTCTGCTAGTTTTTAGACTTGGGTCATAGGACTTTTATTTATTTATCCCACAATCCTTTTCAGTATTGATTTTAGGATGGTTGTTTTATATTGCAAACAAATTATTTGCATTTTTAGTGTACAGTTATATATCACTTTGGGAGGATTTTTTGTTCTGAAAGGCAGGTGATATATAAGCAAACAAGCAGATTTTTAAAATACAAACACAAACTCGAGAACCAAAACTCATGAAATGCATGTCACTTACCCAATGCTCTCCTTAAAAAATTAAACTAAGCCAAGTCATGGTAGAACTGATTTATGGGTATTTTCTAGCAGGTCTACTGATTTTCTAACATCCTAGCAGTAATTCCAAAGTAGCAGACAGCACTAACAGACTTCAGGGGAGAATTATTCACATTTGGCTGAGCATAGCTCACAGGTGCCTAGGCAAAGAGCCACACTGCAGCTGCTTTGACTAATTTGATTAATAAGCACACATTGACATGGACCATGGAGTCATGTGCTAATTTCCTTTTATTTAGAGCCTCTTCTGACTGTAATGAATTAATTTGTATCACTGAAAAGCATAGCAGTACTTGGGCTCTAAAAAGGACAACAACAACAAAAGAGCCCAGCGGAAGGACTGCTCACAGGCATAATAGCTTTAAAGGCAAAGGTACCCCTGATCGTTAGGTCCAGTCGCGGACGACTCTGGGGTTGCACGCTCATCTCGCTCTATAGGCCGAGGGAGACGGTGTTTGTCCGCAGAGAGCTTCCGGGCTATGTGGCCAGCATGACTAAGCTGCTTCTGGCGAACCAGAGCAGTGCACGGAAATGCCATTTACCTTCCTGCTGGAGCGGTACCTCTTTATCTACTTGCACTTTGACATGCTTTTGAACTGCTAGGTGGGCAGGAGCTGGGACCAAACAACAGGAGCTCACCCCTTGTGGGGATTCGAACCGCCGACCTTCCGATTGACAAGTCCTAGGCTCTGTGGTTTAGACCACAGCAGCACCCGCGTCCCTTATAAAAGCTTTAGTATGGCCTAAATATTGCAAAGGGCTGAAGTTGTCTACTTGTGCCTTTGCACAAGATGTAATGGAAGAGAGCTGGAAACATGGGAATCTCCTGCTTCCTCTACACAGTTCCAGGTATCATGCAAAGCTGGAAGACACGTACAACCAACCATGGCGTGCAAGAGGCATCTACTGCTCTTTTTTGTGCAAGATCCCCACAAATGCATGGCTTCCTACCCCCCCCCCCATTTCTGCATCTCATGCAAAAGCACTCTAAATAGTAAAACTAAAGAGAGAACTCGTATTCGAATGCTATTGTTTCAAGGATTGCTGAAAAGAGAGTGACGTGCAGAGGGCCTCCTTCTTCCTTAGCTGGCATTAGATTACTGAATAATAGCCATTCCTGACCTAACGTCTGAAGCTCAAAAGTCACTTCCAGATCTGTGATTTCTCTTAGAATCATAGAGTTGGAATAGACCACAAGGGCCATCGAGTCCAAGCCCCTGCCAAGCAGGAAACACCATCAGAGCACTCCTGACATATGGTTGTCAAGCCTCTGCTTAAAGACCTCCAAAGAAGGAGACTCCACCACACTCCTTGGCAGCAAATTCCACTGTTGAACAGCTCTTACTGTCAGGAAGTTCTTCCTAATGTTTAGGTGAAATCTTCTTTCTTGTAGTTTGGATCCATTGCTCCGTGTCCGCTTCTCTGGAGCAGCAGAAAACAACCTTTCTCCCTCCTCTATATGACATCCTTTTATATATTTGAACATGGCTATCATATCACCCCTTAACCTCCTCTTCTCCAGGCTAAACATGCCCAGCTCCCTTTGCCGTTCCAATGGCCCCCAATGTTATCTGAAGAGAAAATGTTGGCATTGAAGATATTTCCCTCTAGTACAGTGGTACCTTGGTTTTAGAACAGCTTAGTTTATGAACAACTTGGATTAAGAACGCTGCAAACCCGGAATTAGGTGTTTTGGTTTGTGAACTTTGACTTGGAAGCAGAACATGTTCCGCTTCCTGTTGAGTGTGTTCCATTTGTAAATTGAGTCCCCCGCTGCTATGGGAAAGCACACCTTGGTTTAAGAACGCTTTGGTTTAAGAAAGGACTTCCAGAACGGATTAAGTTCGTAAACCAAGGTACCACTGTATTGGAGATGGCATAATCCTAGGAGGACACAGATCACTGATCCATCTAGGTCCATATTATCCACACTGACCAGCAGTGGTTCACCAGGATTTCAGACAGGGGGTCTCTTCCAGCCCCACCTGGAGGCCTTCTGCATGCAAAGCAGATGTTCTACCACTGAACTACAGTCCTTCCTTGGTTCAATGTTGGTGTCAGCTCTCACATGCAACGGAACAGTTTCTATTCCCTTAAGCCGAGGTGCCATGAATAGCGAAAGGACATAATACCAAGGGAGAAGACTTACTTTCTATCTGTGAATGTAGATCATTGACTATCACCTGTAGCTGCCCAATCGTCATATCTCTCAGATCTGTGGGCTTTAAGCTTCTTTTCATCAAGCATTCACTTATATGAGGCATATGTGGCAGCTAAAAAGAACGACAACAACACTTTAGGCCACTGTCATGGCCGGCAACAATGACAAAAAAGAACTTCTGTCAGCATATTTTCTAATGTATTAGCAATAATAGCTGATGATGGTAACCTACTATATATTAAGCACCCTGAGCATTAGTCATTAGGTACTGAATGCATAAAATTTATCAAGTTTAGATACCACATACTGTAATAAGATTTTATAAATACTATACTCTAACAAAGGGGAAAAAACTTTATTTCCCCTGCATGTTCTGAATCAAATATATTAAATAAATATGCTCCACTTTTAAAACTCATTTTTTACATCTCAGATGGAGTTATAAAGGTAAAGGGGCCCCTGACCATTAGGTCCAGTCGTGGCCGACTCTAGGATTGCGGCGCTCATCTCGCTTTATTGGCCGAGGGAGCTGGCATACAGCTTCCGATTCATGTGGCCAGCATGACTAAGCCACTTCTGGCAAAACCAGAGCAGTGCACGGAAATGCTGTTTATCTTTCCGCTGGAGCGGTACCTATTTATCTACTTGCACTTTGATGTGCTTTCGAACTGCTAGGTTGGCAGGAGCAGGGACCGAGCAACAGGAGCTCACCCCGTCACAGGGATTTGAACCGCCGACCTTCTGATCGGCAAGTCCTAGGCTCTGTGGTTCAACCCACAGCACCACCTGCGTCCCTTCCAGATGGAGCTATAGGCTTCCCCAAATTCCAAAAAGCTTTATTGCAATTGGAGCAACTTCCATGGCTAGAAACAACTGGCAGGCATTGATCTTCTATGAGATACTTACAAGGTCAGCTACGGGAGATTTTTTCCTGTTTTGCTTTTCCACCTCTACTTGCATTTTGGCCATTGGTTTTGCCATTGCTAAGGCCATTTTGGCTTCAGCTTGAAGTTTCTTTTGCCTTGAGAGAAAATCCATGTCATCTAGGGATTCAGATTCCTCTTCAGTAGTGTCTCTGTCAGAATAGGAAGAGCTCTGCTTGCTCTAGAAAAATAGACACAACATATATATATATACAATCAGGCTTGTCTAATTCAGCGGCTAGCAATTTAATCAATGAATTAAAACAATAAACATTAGCTCTAGCCTTAATGTGAATGGCATGAACCAGAAGTAAACCAGCCCTCTGCCAGAATTGTGTTTAGATTCTAGGGTTAAACCTTTGGCACCCCTGGTTTAAAGGACACCAGATGTCTGAGCTGGGAAAGAATTATGCCTGAGACATTAGAGAACTGCTAAAAGTCTAAGCAGATGGTATAGATCTAAAAGGATCCCTGTGATGCCACACAAAATACCTCTTTATATCATCATACTGCGACTGACACCACTCTTCACCTGCTGATGACAGGTGAAGTTCAACCATACCTGGAGGGCACTAGGTAAGCTATCCCTGGTCTAAGAACTATACCCACTTGCCTAATTGACTGGCCAGTGCTAAAAGCAACCACTTGTCCCATAATATTTTAGGGTTGCCATTTTGAAGAGCAAAAAAGAGGACACTTTTGCCGACTTTTAACTATGGATTGCTATGACAGCTCTACCCATGAAAAAGAGGATGTGTTCTGGAAAAAGTGGACATATGGCAACCAATGTTCTTAGGGCACACAACCCAGTCACATCAGTTATCCATAAAATGGTGGCGCTATTTATATATTTTATTTATTTCTTAGTACTGTTTTGGCTGCCAATATTACGTTGCGTCAGTTTGTTTCTTTGAAGTGTATAATATTGTTTTGACAGTTGTAGTATTTCGTTCTTTTTCTTTTTATGTTTTAAAATTTAATAAAGGTTAACTTTTTAAAAAAGAAAACCTGGAATTTGGTGCACATTTCCTGACATTTTTCAAGGGATCAAGACCTTCTGTAAGACTGAAACTCACCATGGGAGACAAAGGTGTATCCAAACTTGTTTCGGTCTTGCTGTCATCAGCATCGCTATCTTTGTCACTTCCGCTGTCATTTACAAAACAAATCTGTAAATTCATCCCACTTTGTAACCTTGAACAGAGAAAAAAAGAGGGAGAGGGGAAGAGAGATTGGATTATCACTTCCTGCAACGATACAAAATGTAGTTTGGCTCTTGGATTCTTATTCTTCTAGAAAATTTTGCCATTTCTGCATACTCCATCAGTGTTAATTGCCAGTCCTCCTTCGTTGGAATTGTGTCTTCTTTCTGTCTCTGGGCATAAATCATTCGGGCAGCTGTAGCAGTGTACATAAATAATTTTTTTTGGTGCTCTTTGGGTACCTTTCCACCAATTATACCTAAAAGAAAAGCTTCTGGTTTTCTTAACAAAAGTTATCTTCAACATTTTTTTCAACTTATTATAAATCATTTCCCAAAAAGCTTTTGCTACCTTACATGACTACTACATATGGAAAAAGGTACCCTCCTTCTCTTTACATTTCCAACAGGTATCTGATTCTGACTTATACATTTACTGGGTGTTCGGTATCATCCCCTATGTTTCCTTTTCTCTGCTGGTCTCTAGAAACCAGTTTACATGCTTGAGTAACTTGTTTACCATTGCTTGAGCTTTATTTAAAGTACAGTTGTACAGGCTAAAAAGAAAAAAGCTGGGTTATGTATGAGAGCTTATCATTACGACATATTGAGATGATCCAAATTTAGCAAAGTTTAGCAAATACATTTCCAAGCTGTAACTGTGCTAGATTCGAAAGCGGGGGGGGGGGGGGAGAGCAAGCATTCTGAGAAACTTAATTTATTTATTTTTTTAAAAAGTTACACATGTAAATAATAGAGATTCTCATTCTGAAAACAGTTAACATGTCTGAATAATAAAATACAACATTGCATTTAGAACTCACTTATCCCAATTTGTTTTTACTGTTGGATTTACAGTTGCCCGCAAAAGACGAGTACAGATTTGTATTTCTACCTGATGGGGTAGATAGGCTTCAGACTTGCTACTTCTACTTTATATATATTTTTTACTAGATCCCCAAGAACTAGATCACCCAGAGTCAGGTGCAAAATGCAGTTAGAATGAAAGGGCAGGGGGCAACTGAGCCCATTATGTGTACCAGAACTGAACTGACTCACAGTGTTTTTCGTATAAAAATCCACTCCTGGTTAGCTTTCTCCATTTCAGCAGCCTGATTTAGGTGGGAAAAGCCATTTTATTGTTCCCATTGCTAAACAACTCAGTTGTAAACCCTTGCCAAACTATTGCAAGCCACCCAGGGTTCTTGACCTACCTTCTTCCTAATGCTGTTTTACATTATTTTAGAGAAATGCAATCAGCTGCCGTTGCCTGTGTCCAAAACAGTAATTTTCCCTTCACCTGATTAGCTCTGAGTGCTCTTGTGCAGAATGGCTGCAATCAAATTCAAAAGGGCGTTCTTCACACCCAGAGAACTTACCGTTTTTTTGTACACTCTTGAGGAAAAAAAATACCACACAATCTCTTGTGCATGACTGGCCAGGAATGGCCTCCCCAATTAAAAAGAAGAAGAAGCTGAAGCATTTAAAAACGACTCAGAAGATCTTTTCTAGAACTCCGTGACTAATAGCATTATTGGTTATCAATACCTGCTTAAAATGTTGATCTAGGCAAGCCTACCCAGACTTGCCATTATAACGTACAGGTACATTATTATTTGTTTTTAAAATATGTTGGTTTTTATCTACAGTTTAGCAATTCTATTATGTCTGTTTTAAAAGTCTGTTTCTATTGCTTAAAAAACCCCTGAATATTTTATACCAGGGGTGTCCAACTTCCAAGAGACTGAGATCTATTCCCACTATAAATAAACTGGCAGTGATCTACCCATTGGATTGACCAAAGTTGTTGAGCTTCTTTTGTGTGTGGGGTTTTTTTTTTGGGGGGGGGTCTAAGATCAACCACTCCTGCCAACCTAGCAGTTCGAAAGCACGTCAAAGTGCAAGTAGATAAATAGGTACCGCTCCGGCGGGAAGGTAAACAGTGTTTCCGTGTGCTGCTCTGGTTTGCCAGAAGCAGCTTAGTCATGCTGGCCACATGACCCGGAAGCTGCACGCCAGCTCCCTCGGCCAATAAAGCGAGATGAGTGCCACAACCCCAGAGTCGGCCACGACTGGACCGAATGGTCAAGGGTCCCTTTACCTTTTAAGATCAACCAGGGACACCCCGCAATTGACCAGTAGGCTGCGATCAACCTGTTTGACAGCCCTGCTTTATACCATTTCACATAAACCACTCAGATTATTTATTAAGCAGAATATAAGTCTTGATAAACAAACAAAACATACTGTACATACATATCATCTGTAAAGTTGGATCTAAATAAATGAATAAAATCAGAATACCTAGAAAATCAGTTCTATACAAATATGCCACCTAGCTTCAACACGTATTCATTTAGAAGACACCGGCCTTCTGGCGCATAAGGAAGGCTTCTGTGGAGCAACTTCTGCTCCTTGGATTTGAACATCATCTTGGCATTCATTCAACTGCTCACTTTTCCCTCCTCATTCAAATACCCTCAAGATCTCCCAAAGTGTGTCAATCAAAAGGCTTTAGAAAGAGCACATGCCATAAATCTGCCCACACACCCTCTTTAAAAAACCCACCACAATAATTATATGCTCCTCACCACATGGCCTTTCCTTGCCATCTCATTGTTTTAATTGACAACCTTCTTCTCCCCTGCACTACTGGCCATATATTCTTTGACTGAAAGCTTTGGGAGCTGGGGAATCCACCCTCTTCACAAATGTATGCTAGACACCCATGTGGACCACGTCTGAGCGCTGCAGAAACCTCATGGCATAAGTGATTGGAATGCAATTCATTTTAAGAACAGAACGGTTGGTTGTAATTTAGGAGAACTTCAAATAGCCTGCAAAAACCAGCAGCACCCTGTGTTGTGTATGTTTCTTCTTTCTAAAGTTTGTTCTTATGTTTGTGGAGCGTTGCTAGGAACTGCATTTTGCCATAAAGATTGCAATATCTCTTCCCAATCCAGCTCATACATGTGGGGAGGAATGAGGCCACACCTGCGCGCTCACCAAGCCAATGCATCTGCCCTTTTTCTGATGCTCCTGCAGGTCGATGTGGGGCTACCACATCCGAGGCTTATAAGGAAGTGGAATTGTCCAGTCTGGCCCACAGGTGACTTTATGGGTCCCAATGATAAAGCAAATGTTGAGTGTTACAGAAAGACTGCTCTGAGCATTGTTCAGAGATGAAACTTTTCAGTTAACATTGTTTCATGATAGACACACAAAAATCATTTACAGTGGACGCTCGGGTTGTGAATGTGATCCATGCGGGATGCACGTTCGCAACCCGCAGCGGCGCATCTGCGCACGCGCAGGTTGCGATTCGGCCCTTCTCTGCATACACAAGGTGTGAATTAGCGCTTCTGCACATGTGCGACCGCCCAACCCGGAAGTAACCCATTCCAGTACTTCCAGGTTTTGATGGTCCGTAACCCGAAAAAACGCAATCTGAAGCGTCAGTAACCTGAGGTATGACTGTATTGCACTAGTACTGTACAGTGGTACCTCAGGTTACATACGCTTCAAGTTATATACGCTTCAGGTTACAGACTCCACTAACCCAGAAACAGTGCTTCAGGTTAAGAACTTTGCTTCAGGATAAGAACAGAAATCGTGCTCCGGCGAGGCCCCATTAGATAAAGTGGTGCTTCAGGTTAAGAACAGTGTCAGGTTAAGAACAGACCTCCAGAACGAATTAAGTACTTAACCCGAGGTACCACTGTACTGCCAATTTTAATTGCTGTACATTGAGTACTATTTTAGGCAAAGGCAGGATAGGCATTTCCTTAAGGGAAGACCAAGAACAGTCCTACTCAGCAGCCCTATCCCCCAAAGAACCAGGGCTTTAGGCTGTGTTACTTGAACTTAGTGGAACTAAACACACTTATTATTTAAAGCATTTAAAACCTTGTTCTTCAGCCAAAAAAGGGTTATAAAAATCAGTAATAAGATAGTCCCCGTCTTCAGCTTTACAGCCTAAAAGATATGACACAAAAGAGAAATAGACCAGGAGGAAGAAAGCAAACTCAGGCACGACTTCTTAGTTGCATAGTGCTAACTAAGATATGTATTTTAAGATATGAATTTTAGTCAATTAAACAACCAATTAAATTTGTGTAGAGTTGCCTACAGGTAAAACAGTATATCTGAAGTAAGAAGGAACTTTTTTGATGACATACACAAAGGTACTGGCCCTGTGTGTGAATGAGTTTCTCGTAACATGATGGTGGCCACCTGCAGTTTTCATAAGCATTTTTTTTTAAAAAAAGATCAATCTAGCTGAAGAATCTGTTAACCACTGTAACTCTGTTTTTTTTAAAAAAAATACCATTTATAAATAGGACCATTGCCTGATTTAAAAAAATCTTAAAGTCATATGAGTTTTAGTCAATTAAACCTGCATAAATGTGCAGGTGAGAAAAATAGAACTCTAGATGATTCGCGAATGCATTAGGGCAGACATCATAGGCTGTTTATTATCTTTAATACAAGTGTGTGCGTCTGTGTCTGTCTCCAGATGTCAAGAAGAGCAATTCCTTCCTGTCTAAAAAGGGGGAATGTCTCTTCAAAGATGATTCATGAAGCTGAGCAAGGATGCAGGGGTGTGTGTGTGTGTGTCATGGTTCCAGGATGTTTTTCAGAACAGAAGCAACAATATGATCTGCCAGAGCACCAGGACACTCCTTGCTCTGGCAAGTGAATGAGGTGATAAAGAGATTTTCAAGTTTGTTTGGGACAGATTAAGTCAGGAAGTTGAGACAAACCTCCCTAGACCCATGGAAACATCTGGAGAGACCGACTGGATCAGAGTTTTCAATACACATTTTAAACTGGTTCTAAGTCGTGGTTCTGTATGGAAGTGAGAGCTGGACCATAAAGAAGGCTGATCGCTGAAGAATTGATGCTTTTGAATTATGGTGCTGGAGGAGACTCTTGAGAGTCCCATGGACTGCAAGAAGATCAAACCTCTCCATTCTGAAGGAAATCAGCCCTGAGTGCTCACTGGAAGGACAGATCATGAAGCTGAGGCTCCAATACTTTGGCCACCTCATGAGAAGAGAAGACTCCCTGGAAAAGACCCTGATGTTGGGAAAGATGGCTGGCACAAGGAGAAGGGGACGACAGAGGACGAGATGGTTGGACAGTGTTCTCGAAGCTACCAGCATGAGTTTGACCAAACTGCGGGAGGCAGTGGAAGACAGGAGTGCCTCGCGTGCTCTGGTCCATGGGGTCACGAAGAGTCGGACACGACTAAATGACTAAACAACAACAACAACAAAGTCGTGGTTCTAGTTTTAAGCTGCTGTTACGGCTTTTCCCAAGAAATGACAGACAAGCTGACATGGTTGGTGTTTACTGTGTTTTTAAATTGTGTTTATTATATGTTAAAAAGCAATAAAACGCATTATAAAGAAAGGAAGAAAAACAACAACAGAAACCACCCAGCGCCAGTGGATTGTCCAAAGCTGAATAGCAGTGCCTTTGGCCCTCTGTGCTCACTTAAATCAGCAAGCAATACTTTAACAACCTATTTACTGGTATAATGTACATAATGGTTCCTTTATTCCAAAATCGAACATGATCTCAGCCACAAGGTGGCCTGTAGCACTTTCTTGCAACTTTAGGCATCCTTTTATCATAAATAAGGAATGGGTTGTAATGGAAGCCACATGCACATTAAAGGATTAAATTTAAAATTCACCAATCATCCAGTTATTTGTGCATACAGAGAGCACCTGCTAAAGTATTATATTAACTTGTGCACAAGGCAGGGAGAAGAGATTATTTTTTAAAGCGTTCTTTCGATGATGCATTCGGCTGGTCTCTCTAGTCAGAAACAATTCTTCCATAAAGGTGTTTATTGTGATTGTGGTGATGTTATGCTTCTGGCCATCTGGACTTCCATGCAGCCATCTCCCTTGACAAAATTCCTAAGCTGTGTAATGTCAAGCCATAAAAATGCTAACTGTGATTTATAGCCACCGAGACTCTGTAGACAATACAGAAGCATATGGGTTTTTCCCTCCTCTGGACAGATATGGAATATCCATACAGCGACTGCGATTCACAGAAGAACCATTCCTAATTTGTTATTTCATTAAGAACTTGAAATATGATGGTAAACAAAACATATCACCAGGCAGACAAGACATGTGTAACTAATAAACATGGGCTTTGATTCATGCTATTCCTCCTTTGCGCCCCCATCCCCAGGAGATTTAATCTTGTATTACTCTTCAGTGGAAATGGACAGTAAAATATTATTTTCCATTTACTTTAATGGCTCTTTGGATGCATTATTAATATGCAATATATAATGAATAATTGCATACTTACATTTTTACGCCATGTCTTTTTCTGCTGCACAAGACATTCAATGGGTTTAAGGCCTGAAGCATAAATTATAGCTACCCGGGGAAGGGTGTGATAACATATACTGTTCCTTTGCTTTATTCTAGCATTGTTTGCAAAGGGAAATAGATTAACTCCTTACTCCTTTGTGAGTCATAACCTCTGTTCTTAATACCAGCACACACGTTATAGGGAAAATGTTGAGGAGTTCAGAGAGAGAAAACTAGGAGACAAATGCTGCAGTCCTAGAGAGACTTGCCTGAGAGCAAGTACCACTGAACTCAATAGGATTTTTCCCTGAGTAGCCATGCATAGGAGTATGCTGTAAGTTCCCATCCCATGCACATCAACTAGGCAGTGAGTTTGTTTAATATGGTAGGACTTATGTCCCAGTAGACATACATATGATCAGAATCCGGGCCAGTCCTGAATATCTATCAGGCTATGTATATTGGCTTGTATGCTTAAACTGAGATGGAGGTACCGATGGCTACTGTACTATTAATATGAGCTGAAGCTTTCTTTTTCCCCTTTTCCTTCCTGACTCTTGTTGTTAAATTTTCTATTAAAAGGTAGCCAGAGTAAGAACCAGGCCTTCTTGTTCTTTGTTTTCCAAAGAACCTTGAAAATCAGAGGAAGAAAAACAACAGATGACTTTCAATCAGTGCTAGGGTAGGAAGTCCACACTTGGCTGCCCTTGCCTCCTAAAGGAAATCTGACTTTTGGGTTCCTGTGTGTGGAAAACAGACCCTTCCTGGGAACTCTGAAAGTGCTAGGCTGTGCCATTCAGAGACTATTTTGCCTGAACCCGTACCCTTGCAGGGGATCAATGAATGTGGCTTTGGGGTGCAAAGAAAAGCCTAAGCAGTGAAGCAGTCAGGGCATTTGCATGTGTGAACTTGTGTCTGCTTGAACGAGACATCCACGCGCCATATGTTTCCTGCTCTACCATGAACCTATGCCACAGAAGAGGAAGGGGTCCCAAGGGGTCCCTACCAGAGCAGTATTTGACCGTGTTGCAAGCTTGTGGAGTGGGACAAATCTGGCCTGGCACATGATACCTTTGTTAGTAGGGCAGGCTTAGGGAGAGACTGGCCCAACATCACCCAGGTATCATCATGTCTGAACATAGATATGAACAGGGGTCTCCCCAGCCTGTGGTTTTGGAGTGCCCTTGGAAGGTGTGGCTTCAAAGGGAGGCAGGGCTGTCATGGTGAGTTCCTATGCTTCAAAAAATTACCACCATACCACTGTTACAACTGCTACTACTGGAAGGTAACAAAATTAGGTGCCTGAAACATGAAGGTTTTTGTGGTGGTTGAGGCCATGTGCAGCGTGGTGGGTGATTAATCAATTTTTACCCCCCCCCATGGAACTTTGGGACGCGGGTGGCGCTGTGGGTAAAAGCCTCAGCGCCTAGGGCTTGCCGATCAAAAGGTCGGCGGTTCGAATCCCCGCGGCGGGGTGCGCTCCTGTTGTTCAGTCCCAGCACCTGCCAACCTAGCAGTTCGAAAGCACCCCCGGGTGCAAGTAGATAAATAGGGACTGCTTACTAGCGGGAAGGTAAACGGCATTTCCGTGTGCGGCTCTGGCTCACCAGAGCAGCGATGTCACGCTGGCCACGTGACCCGGAAGTGTCTCCGGACAGCGCTGGCTCCCGGCCTCTTGAGTGAGATGGGCGCACAACCCTAGAGTCTGTCAAGACTGGCCCGTACGGGCAGGGGTACCTTTACCTTTAAATGCAACTTTAACTCAGGTTGTGTCCTCAAAGAAAAGTAGAGAGCTGAGCACCAAATATTTGGGGTGTGGAGGCACCCTTAGTCCAATTCCTATTATTGTCAACAAGGGATCATGGTCTCTTGTTTGGGCCTCAAAATGGAGAATGGGATGTTGAAAGAACTCTTGTCCTTTATCCTTCCATTGCTTGTTTAAATAACCAGGAGCCACAAAATCCCTTTTCCAGTGATAAACTGGAGAATGTATATTTTGATGAGTCTCCCACAGGCAATAACAGCTCACCACTGCATGCACAAATGCTCTTTGGTTTCTACATTTATGTTGAAAATAAATTTTAATCAGGACTGACCATTCACACACTTTTATTTATCATGCCTATATAAAAGTTTGGTTACCATTAAAGCGTTTACTGCTGCTGTGGCATTTGTCCGTGTTAAGCGTGCAGTATTCAGAATTTTACGACAGAGGCAAGAGGCTGGATTTCTTACAAAGTATAAAGGGCCTTCTCAAAGAATATACAATTATATGCCAGTGTAAGACTGGGGTTTGGGTGGCTGTACAGTACTCAAATTTATGTCCTTGAGTTCAAATGTCTGAAGGGAGGCAGTGCTGCTTCATAAAATTATTTGTATTTCTTTGTAATACATTTGAAATCTCCCACTAAATCCAAACCTTTATTGCTTAGCCCAGGCATAGGCAAACTCGGCCCTCCAGATGTTTTGGGACTACAACTCCCATCATCCCTAGCTAACAGGACCAGTGGTCAGGGATGATGGGAGTTGTAGTCCCTAAACATTTGGAGGGCCGAGTTTGCCTATGCCTGGCTTAGCCAACGGCAAACAATCATACAATAGTACAAAAAGCGAGACGTCACTAAATATATGACTTTAACAAACGAAAAGCATCATGACTAGCCACTGGAATAGCCAGATAAACTCAGTTAAGTGCAGTGTGTAACTCAGTGTAGACTTCAAAAGGCTTTTAAGTAACACTGATAATTCAAACAGTATCCAGACTTAAATGTGCTGAGCGCTTTTAAAATCTTTAAAGCAGCTGAAGAAATTATTCATTACAGATGTTACTGACGTTTCTTTAAATATTTATATCCTCACCTCGGCTGAGTTTGAGATGGCTTATGGAATAGTATATTAAACCATACCTTTCCCCAACATGTTTGAAAGGCACACAGAATGAAGTTCTGGGAAAGTGACTGACAGTCACAGAAATGGAAGCAAGCATGACATTCACACACAACATTGGAAATGCACAGTACTGTTGGACAAACAGATGCCGGGGGGGAAGACAGAAGATGAGAAGCTTAGAAGCTCAGACAGTGGAGGGGTTTCTCTTTGTAGTTAAATCATGAACGGACAGAACACTGAAGATAATGTCACAGTCTCAAAAGCCTGGACTTTATGATATTATGCCACGCGGCATAACTCTATGATATTATGCCACATGGAAGCTATTAAAATGATAAATGTTCACCGTGCCATTTTCACTCACCGAGAAGAAAGGCTTGGCTTTCCACTTTTACTACAGCTGGTATAAATTCCTGGGCCATCATCAAAGAAACTTCCAAGCGCCAGTTTTTGCCTGATAGACTCCCTCTCATTTTTTTGAGCCTGGAAAAGAAAAAAAACACACAACCAGAACAGTCAAACCGCTGACAGCAAACCACATTCCTGTAAACAGAACTTTAAAGTTAATCCAACATTTTCAGCACTCAATGTTATAATTTGAGACAAGGAGATAAAGCGCCAATGATATAATGTACCCTCTTGATTTGTTTCAAATAGAGAATACATGTTGAATATTGTCTCAGGCTAGTCACTAGGTGATCCTGACACAAGTGTTATTTCAGTTCATTTTCGCCTTTGTCTACTGCCTTTCAACACTGCTATACACAAGGCAGTGTATGAGCCACAGAAGCAACAGAATACACAACAAACACCACACATCTTATAACAATCTGACTCAGTGCAAAAAGTCATCATTTGTTCCAAGTTCTTGAGTCCAGGAAGTGGGAAGATGGCTTGCTATGGATGGGGTTTCACTACTCTGGAAGGAGCAGGTCCATAGCTTGAGATTACTCCTGGATCCAACTGTCATTTGAGGCCCATCTCTAGCTGGTTCACCAGCTATGGCCCCTTTGGGAGAGAGATAACTTGACCACGGCACTCCATGCTGTACTTCCAGATTGGACAATTCTTGCCTAAGCCAACCACGGTTCTGAATTTTATGATGATGAAGATGATGATGATAATTTATTATTTGTACCCCGCCCATCTGGCTGGGTTTCCCCAGCCACTCTGGGCGGCTTCCAACAAAGATTGAAAATACATTAAAATGTCACACATAAAAAACTTCCCTGAACAGGGCTGCCTTCAGGTGTCTTCTAAATGTCAGGTAGTTGTTTATCTCTTTGACATGTGATGGGAGGGCGTTCCACAGGGCAGGCGCCACTACCGAGAAGGCCTTCAGTGCTGGACCTCAGCATCCGGGCAGAATGATGGGGGTGGAGACGCTCCTTCAGGTATACTGGGCCGAGGCCGTTTAGGGCTTTAAAGGTCAACACCAACACTTTGAATTGTGCTCGGAAACGTACTGGGAGCCAATGTAGGTCTTTCAAGACCGGTGTTATGTGGTCTTGGCGGCCGCCCCCAGTCACCAGTCTAGCTGCCGCATTCTGGATTAGTTGTAGTTTTGAACTCCAGGGTTTTCAACCTGTGGTCCTTGGCCAAATTTCATTGAATGGAGAGAGCTTAGAGGGGCTAAAAAGCCAAAATGGATGTGTGTGTGTGTGTGTGTGTGTGTGTGTTGAGGGGTGGAATTCCCCTGTAAGCAAACTGTTCAGATCTCTGGCAAGACCTGGCAGTTTGCAGTTCAGGAGGAAAGAGTGTAAAAGAGAAAAGGGGGGCATCAGAAAGTGATAAAAGTGGCTGCCCACCCACTCTTGGCCATGCCCCATTCACCACTAGCATATGGCCCCCATCAGCTTACCCCAGAGCAAATGCGGCCCTCAACAGAAAAAAGCCTGCTTGTGGTTTTCCCACAGGTATCTGGTTGACCACTGTAAGAATAGGATCATAGAATCATACATATGTAGAGAGTTGGAAGGGACTGCAAGGGTCATCTAGTCCAACCCCCTGCAATGCAGGAAACTTTTGCCCAAGTTGGGGCTTGAACCCACAACCCCAAGATTAAGAATATCATGCTCTACCTACTGAGCTATGTTGGACTAGATGGGCCTTTGGCCTGATCCATTCTTCAAACAAACAAACAAACAAACAAACAAACAAACAAACAAACAAACCAAACTGCAAATACCCAGTTCCCTCTACGGATTCAGCCCAAGCAACAATAGGTTTAATTCATACTTTGTTTATTAGAGTTGGAAACTGGTGCCACACTGTCTAATCTGAAGCAATTACAGCCTAGTGATTTTGAGGAGCATCACCATTAGCAGAATTCATTAGTGATTGCCCATAGATACGACTGCTAACTGAATGCTTCCAAGAACCATCCTTTGAAATGTATGGCACACTATGCATCTGGTATATAGCTTTTCTGTCTCAAAAAAAGTGCAGCGGCAAACGAACTGCAACATGAGGGAAAATCAATAACTTTAAGAGCACAGTAGCTGAACTTAATAAGCTGGTATATTCATTTTCACTTTGCCACAAGTGCTGCTATAACAGAAAAGGAACCTCAGGGGGCTCTCTCATTAGATTTTGTTTTTCGTCCAATCTATTACATGCTACTGAAGATGCTTCCATCTGCACTGCTGTTTTATGAAGCTGTTTTCCTGCAGTGGGGGGAGAATTCAGAGAAAGATGTGGAGACAGCTGTGTAAGGATAATCTCGGACACTGTCAAAATAAAATATAAATCTAGATGTAGCAGCATCCAGTCGCCTAGAGGCTAAACCACTACAGAAGGAAGGAAAAGAAGAGGCATCATAAAAGAACAATACGCAAAACAAAAATGCAATTAAATAATAAAAACCAAGAAATACCAGTCAAGCATTTAAAAAGCTGTAAGGTTTGACAGCGGCAGACATCAATAGCCAACAAAAACTATGGTGAACAGAATATTTTCAGCCAGAATGGCATGCTTGGTGCATATCATAAAATCATAAGAGTTGGAAGAGACCCTGAAAATCACTCTTTGAATTAGCAGGAATATGCAGCTGCCCCATGCAAGGATCGAACCTGCAACCTTGGCATTATCAGCAGCACACTCTAACCAATGGAGCTATCCATGAAGCTTTCGCATGGAAGTTTCTACATTACTCCCAACAGCAGTCCATGCTCACAGTAGCCACAAATCACTCCCAAAGCCCAAAAGGCATTTGTCAACTGCCGACCATCGGAAGTCCCCTCCTTCCTTATCACGCTGGCATTGATAGAAAGAAGACACTCACTGTTTCTCATGTTAGTAAGAACGAGTGGGACCTGCAACAAAAGGTGGTCCCTGTTTCCCCCCATTCTTTTACCCCCACCCTCAGTTCTATGCAGCCACTAACATGCCCAATCATCACATGCTGCTTTTGCCCACTCCCAACCCTTCAAAGCTTCTTTCTAAATATTATTTGTACTTCTGAAAACCTTAAGGTTTCTCTAAACTGATAGCATCACCCTTCTGGTGTGTGAGCACTGTGGCTGTGTCTATGGAAAGAATGAAATGCATAGGCTAAAGACGGTACGAGGACTATCACCCAGCACAACATCCTACAAGTAAAGTCCTCAACAAATCAATTTCCCTCATCTTCCAAGTTTGCTGCAGGAGCTAATTCCACCATCTGGGCATTGCACTGGCCGGTTTTTGTTTAAAACAAACTTTTTTTTCAAATACACATTTGCAATGTTAAAAAGCAATACCACATAATACGTTATCCATCCGTAGGTGAATCAAGTGTTAGTTCACAGAGCTTGCTACATGTGAAAGTCTCAGTGTAAAATCTACAGATTTCCTACACACTGCATGCAGCAGTTTAAAGGGCAAATATTGACTAAGGTTGCATGCCGAAATCCAGATCTATGGCTCTGAAGCTAGGGATGCTTTAGACTGGAACACATTTTTAAAAGTAAACTGAACTGATTCACATTTCCTGGATTAAATACCCAAACTGGAATGCACTTTCAGTTTCCAGGCTGATTAGAACTTTGTGATAACAGTCCCTGGCTCATAAAACATGCCAAAAATGCATATGAAATTGCATACACTGGGATAAAAAGCATATAAATATATTTATTTTAAATGCATGTTATGTAAAAACAACAACAGAAAATAAGGTGTTGAGTGTGTCTGTGTTGTATCCGACACTGTTGTTCCACTTGTGCAACAGAATTCCCACCTCCCTTGTCCTGTAACCCCCCTTTTTTGTTTATTCAACACAATATATATACACCACTTGATTGTAGCAAAACCTCTAAGCAGCTTACAAGAAATATGATGACTATCAATAAAAACTTAAGAACAAGTAGTTAAAAACATTTAAAAAATAAAATCAGAAATAATTGAAAAAGAAATTAAACATGTCAACATTTGTGTGTCAGGATAGGCTTGCCTAAACAAAAATGTTTTAAGCAGATACTGAAAGGAATAGATGTGAAGGGACCTGCCTGAGGTCAATAGGCAGGGAATTCCAAAGTGTAGGTGAAACTAAAAGAATGATTTCTTACAAGTGCGGAGCAAATATTGGGTGGCACCTATAACAGCGCCATTGCTGGAGATTTAAGCAGTTGAGTGGGCACATATGAGGTTAAACATTGGGGACCCTCTGAAGTTGATTTTAGGGGTGCATGAGGGAAGGAGAGACAACTCCGTGGTTTTAAATTGCAGATCAATGTATGACAGAAACCAGAAACAGACTGATCTATCTGTCCCTATTTGAAGCCATCACACTTGCATCAGTTTGTAGAGATTAAAAGAGAGTGTGCAATTTTCAGCTCTAGTGCTACAGGCAGTGATTTGCAAGTTCTTGTGCATCAGTGCAATTGATTTGTTGGTTGCATCACATCTATGCATAAGATCTGCGGCCGTAATACTTAAGCTACTCATGTTTTACCTACAATTAGAGTGCCTCATGGGAGGACACGGAGAGAATAAAAAGACTAATTAAATTGTGAGGATGATGCAAGTGCAAGCGGTAGACCCAGGGGCGCCCAAACTTTTTTCAAAGAGGGCCGGATTTGATGAAGTGAACGTATGTGAGGGCTGACCAAAGTTGTTGACCTTTTTTAGGATTGAAGTTGTTGACCTTTTCTTAGGATTGAAGCTTTGTTTGTTTCGCCCCCGTAAATGAACTGCCACAGGGGCTGGATAAAACCGGCCAAAGGGCCCGTTTAGACCCCCAAAACGGACTTTGGACATGCCTGTGCGGGTGGAGCAATGACACAGTTAGCACAGTAACTAATGAGAGCACGGAAACTGGCATAATTAGCATCATCATAAAATGGCAGGCAGAAAAGCAGCCTTATGGCTGCAGCAAAAGTCCACAGCAGACCACCAGAGGGTTACTAGAAAATTGTTTTATACATTTTTAAAATATCTTTTTTTTTTAAAAAAAGGAAGTGTACACACACTTATGGCCCAACAATGTTGGTTTTATTTTTCACTAT